AGATTCTGAATTTGCTTTGCTGTAGACCAGCTTTGTCTCTCTCCTCCTGTCCTGAAAGTTTAGATTGGTTTTTGTTGTGAACAAGATACCAAACTGTTTCTTCTGCCTTTGTACTCAGTGTCCCAGCAAGAGCTGATAATAGGGCTGAAAAACCTTTCTGATAAATGAAAGCACTTAAAAGCCCTTGACAGTGTTCTTTTAGAAGATGTGATGCACCTTGGGTGTGGGAGTTGGGGTGCATGGAATTAAATTATTAAAGGAAACAAATTACTTTCTCTCAATGGAAAAAGAAGAATCATAACTTCTTAGCAGGAGTGACAGAACAGTTTAAACTGTCAAGACTGCTGATACTCAAGTTGTAATATTGACTAAATATACCAATCTGGGTTCCTATTCTTGTGGTTAGATGTAATCAATAACAATTGCAGGAAGTATGATCCTTTGCCACAAGCCTACCCTCCCTTTATTGAGAAATCATTGAGTTTCTGGTCTGTCTCTTCACACTGCTTCTGCAGGATTGCTGATCTGAAGAGAAAAACAAACTTCAGTAAATCTTTTGTAGAGTTGTTTCTGCAGGGTGGCTGTTCACAAAAAAAAAAAAAAAAAGGTTCTCAATCCATCCAGTGTTTTAAGTGCTCCTTCCAAAGCTGCCTGTCAGTGAGCATTGCCTGCTCTTCCCTGGTGTGGTGGATGGGCCATGGCTGGCTGCCAGGTGCCCACCCAGGTGCGCTCTCAGTCGTCCTCGATGGGATGGGGGGCAAAATGAGGTGAAAAAGCTCATGGGTTGAGACAAAGACAAGGAAATCACTTACTGGTTACTGTCATGAGCAAACCAGACTCCACCGGTGAAGAAGAAATTTAATGCCAATTAAAATAGATTTGAATAATGAGGAAGACAGATAAAAAGTAAAACATCTGCCCAAGTCCCTGGGTGTGTGTTTCAGGTGGGATTTCATGAAGAGGTGCCCTCTCCTTCCCGCCCCGGCGGCAGGCACAGAGGACCTATCCCCAGGAGCTGTGGCTATGGCTGGATGCTGGTGGGGCTGGATGTCAGTGTCTGACACTTGCAGATGCTTTGCCAGCTCAACCTGGTGACTGTCAAACACTCGGTCTGGTGCCTGTCCCGAAGGGAAGTTGTTTCATATCCGTAATTATGGACTGGCTACGTGGGTGACAGGCACGAGGCACCATTTTGTTTCTTAGCCCTGAGGCGGAAAGGTGTTTCCCTGCCTGTGCTTGGCGTAGATTAGCTGGAGCTGGGCCCTAGGATCAGGTGACTAATCACCTATAAACTGACTAATTAAGCAATAGGAGTAGGATAATGGCATGTTATGGCTGACCAGTGACATTCCCTGCTGAACACCCATTTCACAGCAGACACGTCGCATTTCTTCACCTGATGGTGAAGAAATAGTTGGGCACAAAGTTGTTTTAGGAGAAGCAGTCTCTGGATTAAACCGTTAAAAATTCTCAAGAAAACCATTTAAACAAACTCGCACCATAACTAATTTATATTTTGCCCTGTGAGGAGCTAAAAAGAGGATTTGTAACGCAGATTCCTGCAGCTCTTCTCGGAGCGGGAATGGAGGCAGAGGAGGCCTGCGTCTTTCACAGATAATGCCAGGGACTGAGTAACCCTGACCTTTAAGGAGGAGAAAATGGATTTCCTTTATCAGCTGGTTGAAATTGGAAATTGCAGAAGGAGCAGAGGAAGCTTTGGGAGAGACAGCATTTAAAAATACTGTTATTACTCTTCAAAAGTGGCTTTACATAGCAAAAGCACTTCTTAGACAAAGATATCGAATTCCACTTGCTGTTTCTTTATGTTTAAATTGAGAAAGTAATACATGTTGAATCAAGGATGAAGTTTTATGGCTTTTCTAAGTGTGTGGTTTCCACCACCATTAACATTTCTCTCGATGGCCACTTAGACAAAAGCAGGAACTGTTCTTGCAAATGTGGAGGTGAGACAGGGGGTGCCATGGTCAAGGTGGCACACGGAGAGGTCTTGGAGAAGGAGCTGCTTCCCAGGGGGCTGCAGCCTTGCAGTATTTACAGCACTAGTTTGATTCCTATGTCATCTCCTTGGTTGTCCCCACAAGCATCACTAGTGGTTTCCTTGCTTCCGAGATGCTGGAGATGGGATAAAATCCCAGTTGCTAGGTGCTGTGAAGTGGGAGGTGTTATGCATTTCTGCTGTAGGTAGGAATCAATGGGGTTTTCGTTTCAGCAGGGATGTGGAGGTGTTTTCTGAGGAAAGCTTGAAGGGATGACAGAATTTTTGTGCAAGACTTGAGTTGTGTTACCAAGAGAGATGAGCTTGCGGACATGGCTTCAGCAGGGAAAGGTGAAACCAAATTCTACTGGAACACAGATAGAATAAACTCCTTAATTTTCAGATGAGTTTATTAGAATTCAGAGTTGCAGAAGGCAGATCAAGATGCTGCAAGTTGAGCAGATAATGCAGGAATTCACATTACTAGTGCAAAACTGCTGAAATGCTTTTTTTAACAATTGAGAAAAAAAACCCCAACAAAACAAAGAATTCCACAACAAAACCCACGATCCAAGTTACACTTTCAATGACATTTTTCAAAAAAATTTGCATTTTTCCACTGTTCAAAATGAGATCAGGTGCTCTTGGCCACTGTGGGAGTGCCTGGGTGAACACGTTGCATTGATTTCAACCAAATAAATATAGCAAACGAAGTGAGTTGTTACAGCTTCTTTAAGTAGGTTTAGCTTGAAGAGAGCAACATTTTTAACAACAACAAACAGTCGTAGAAATGCTTAGTGAATATTCCAGCTTTGCTTACTTTGTGGCTAGGTTAGCCACAAAAGAAATAATTAAGAAAAAAAAAGTTTTTTTCTTCCTGAGCTGTGATTTGAGAGGAGTGTCGTAAGCTTACCTGTGAAGCAGCTAAATGCAAGGCTGTTGTCAATCTCCTGCATGCCATCAGGCATGTTTATCTGGATAATAAATACACTGCTGAGATGGAAACTTAATCAGGCTGCTTGGATATCCTTTGCTTGCTGGCTTGCATTTTGCTGGAGAATCCAGGGAAGCCTTGGGCCCTGCTGTTAATTGTCAGGACTTTCAGGGCTCCTGCCATACACATGCATAATGCATATGTGGCATGCAGACAAACATGGAGTAATGGGGTTCAGAGTAGTAGGGGATTTCAGTAAGACTAATAGGTTTAAGGAAATGGCTTCTTTTTTCCCCTCTTTCAGATGGATTGGTGGCTTTCTTTCATTTTTTAAATATCTGACAGCTTTTGCTTAGCAGAAAGCACTTTATATTCCAGGTCCTTCCACCCAGATAACTGCTATTTTCTCTTTTCCCTTCTACATTTCTCACTTGCTCCCTTGTGTGTGGGTATAACCAGCTTTTATGAACACCTGTTTTACACTGGTTTTGGTGAGGTTTTTTCCCTTTTTTTTTTTCCTTTTTTTTTTCTTTTTCCTTTTAGCAAAAGACCTGCAGGCCTTGCTGAAAGAGTACCAGTAGGCTTCCCAGTGAATGACTGGGAGCTGCCTTGCTGAAATATACTCAGGAGCTGGAATTTGGCAGTCAGCTCTTGAGGAAGGGGCTGTCTTTGCCCCGAACAGGACATAGCCTCTTATGACAGTGTGGGCGATGGATTTTTTTACTTAACGAAAGTAGACCAGATTTTCAGGGTGAATAGAGTTTGCTACAAGCAACTGCACTTGCTTGAAACCTCTTGATGTCAGAGCTGGGGCAACGTTAGCCTTGAGGATCTGCCTTATCTGGGTTTTATTATGGTGTTGCTCTGGTAACAGCGGGTCTTATACCTTTATTAAAGGAAGCAGGGCTATTTTTTTTTACTCTCTAGACTCCAGTCAAAGCGAAATTTTGATGTTTCTTTCTACCACAGTTTTTGCAGTTAACAGAAAATTTGCGCTTGCTCTGCAGAGAGCAAGTTAACCCTTTTTTGGTCTAAAAGGGATGGTTTTAAAATATTTTTAACCCTAAAAATCAGCACTTTTTTTTTAAGTTTGGAAAATAAAAATCAGAACTTGCAAGAACACTTGTTGTCCATATTCTAAGTGAAAACCTGGGTTTTTAACACAAGTTAAAAATGGGGAAAAAAAATTACAGGAAACTTGAAATCAAGAAGAATTAAACCACCTAAAAAACTTTACGTGCACTCAGTGCCACGCTGCTTTTTCAGCTTCAGCTCAGAAATCAGCCCCAAGGTCTTTTGGGACTGTTCTGCAAGCAGGTCTTGCAGTTTTAGGGCAGCTCTTGGGAAAATTTACTGTCTTAATGGCCACTGTGCCTGATTGCTGAATTACCCTAAGGCAGGGTTTGAGGTGGTCTTGTGGTTGACTCAGACCTTGTTAATGCTTTAAAAATAATTTTATTTATTTATTATAGTAAAAAAGAGGATACAAACCTGGTAAGGACACAGAATACGTTTGTAGAGAAGAACAGCTGGGAACCTGCCTTTGATTTTGGGAGCTTCTCTGGACAGGTTATTGCAATATCCTATCACTCCACCTCCAATAAGTTTTGTTTTGCTATTATAGTAAAAAAGAGGATACAAACCTGGTAAGGACACAGAATACGTTTGTAGAGAAGAACAGCTGGGAACCTGCCTTTGATTTTGGGAGCTTCTCTGGACAGGTTATTGCAATATCCTATCACTCCACCTCCAATAAGTTTTGTTTTGCTGTATCCGTCCATTTTTTTTTCTCTGCTCCACTTGAAATCCCTCTTTTCCCCAAGTGTTTCTGTTTGGAAAATCTGAAAAGCCTTCTCAGAGGATCTACAGAACCAGTTGACATCCCATCTGCTTGGGACAGGTGTCTAAGGTTGCAAGAGAGGACTTGCTGGGAAAATATATTTTGGTGTTAATATATTAGTATTTAGTAAAGAGTTAGCTATTCTTTTACTTCTAGTTTCATTTTATCTGTAGTATCAAAGTCAGAATGCTTAAATTAAGTATTCATTATTGTGTTTTGTTTCTCTTGCAGGGAAGTTATCCAGTGTGGGAAGACTTTATAAATAAAGCTGGGAAACTGCAGTCTCAGCTTCGGTAAGTTTTGTGTTTATAGGCAAAACCCCTACAATTCCTTGTATCTGCAAACGTTAAGATTAAATGCAGCTTCTGGCAGGATAATTTGCTAAGCATGTCCTAGTGCATATTTCATAGTCAACACCCACGTATGTGATTTTTCACATGCTACTACCACTGTTTTAATGTATTTGGGAAAAGATGTAATCTGCCACTAGCTGTAGATTATAAATAGGAGCTAAATTTCATGATTTCTGGTGGAAAATTAGAGAGTTATTGTTGTTTAATGAACACATGTGGAGTTAGCCCAACATTGTCCTTTTAATTAGTGTAGAATACAGCAATTTTGTATTAGAAGAGGGCTCAAAGTATTAGAGACTTTGGTAGTCTTAGCAGCACTTTCTTCTGCCTTAAAAATTAAGGGAATTTCTGTGCTGCATCATTTATCAGTAATTCTTAAAACTTAAGTTATTTCTTTTTGCTTTGCAAATGGCATTCTGGGTTACTTAAGTGCACTCAGACCAATTCTGCTATCTCTAGAATTAATTTGCCTGTAAAGTCTGTTCCTGCTAATAAGAATCCAAGCTTCATTTCTTCAGCACTCTCCAGTGCATCTGTGGTTTTTTTGACAGCAGCAGTGGTAACAGGTATGGTTATTGCCAGTGTGTTTTGCCGATCTATGTTGTGAACCGTTCCTGAGGAAGCAAGGATTTGGGCTTGTCTACCCTAAAGAGCTGGACTTTGCTGTTCTTCCATGCCCAAGATACCACACTTCTGTGTGGATTTTCGTTTTCCAGCAGTCATGTCACATTGAGTGAGTGTGGAAGAATGAGAGGAAGCAGAGAAAGAAAAGAAGCGGAGAACTTTCCTAGCCTTTTGTACTTCTGGGAAGGCATGAGGGATAGTTTTGTTTATTTCCCAGTCCTGTGGTGTTGCGTTCAATCAGTGTAGTGCTTTCCTAGCTAAGGGAACATGCAGACAGGCAGCTTGAGCATCTGTGTTCAAAGATTTGCTTTTAATTTTTAGCAAATGTGAGCCTTTTGCCTCTGGTTCATCTCTGTGCTCTGATAAAGGAGAGCAGATGTCATCTGAGCTGGAGCCAGGTCTTCCAGGTTATTAACAATATAATTAATTATTAACAATGTGGTACATGAATAACATCATGACCCACAAGTTTGGAAGATGAGGAACACAAATACTGTTAAGGAAAATCTAGAAAAGGTTATCTGGTTCCAGGGCTCCATATTGCTAGCTAGATGTCAGGGATTTTTTGTTCTGCCTTTAATCTCCTGGGCATGTGGAAAGTCCTTATGCATTTGGTTGGTCCTCTCAAGCCTCTTTTTTTGTGTTCAAATCCTTTGTGCTTTGAGTAGGCCATTTACTCTGCTGCCAGTTGTGTCCTCTGTATCTTGAGCATATTTGGAGTGAAACCTGCATAAAATCTGACCTAATTAAGCAGCCCTGTGGTCTTTCTGGCTGAGGATCAGCTTTCCTACAGCTCTCATGGGTTTTTCAGAGGGTAGCAAGGAGCTCTTGAAACAAAGTGAAGTTGCTGTTCCTCCTTCAGGCTTTTGCTTGGAGCCGCTGACGCCATCAGGACAGGAAATCAGAGTTTAGGAAAGATGTGCAGAAACAGAACCACAAGGTAACTGTGGAGAGGGCACAGTGCACTCTACCTGTAGAGCCCTGGCCTACTTTCACTTAAATTGGGTCAACCAGACTATAAAGCATCAGGAATCTGGTACTGACCTGAGATGTTTAGGGCTCTAGGGCCTGCTTAAGTAGAACAAGCGTATTTGGGAAATTGTAACTCACGTTTGCTGTCCACTTGAACGAGTGTCTGGTCCATATGTTCACTCCCAGCCTGGAGGGAGATGAGGCCAGTGGGGTTGACACTTCGGATTGTGGAGTCTCTGAGATTGGTGGTGTACCCCTCAGGAAAGGACCTGCTTAGAGGAGCACTGGGTCAGAAAGGGATTTTGTTTGTTTTGTTTATTTTTGAGGTTGGTTTGGGTTGTTTTAGTTTTTTTTAAAGTAAAGATTTTATTTTTTTTTTCCCCTCTTTCCCATTTGCCCAAGAGCTCCAGACCAGTCTGATTTCTAGGAAGTTGCTGTTTTCTGTTTCAAGGGATGCTTGTGCTCCTCAGATGAGAAATTCAGGAAACTTTTTGGCTAGGGTCTGAGACAACAGGAAGGTCCTGCATGCTTATTCTTAAAATATACATGTCCCCTTGAAATAGCAGTGGCTGTAATTTGTACACAAATGGGTGCAGTATAATTTGTGTTAGATTTGTTTTTCATGTTTGACTGCTTAATATTAGTTCATAGAGGAAATCAGCTAGAAAGGAGATGGCTGTGCTCTTTTGAAATAGCACCTGTCCTGTGCAATTCACAGCACGGAATTAGCGTGGCTGCCTCCAAGTCCATGGTGCTAACAAAAGGCAAGGAGGAGATTAAGAAATTAAGGAGGGAAAGGCTAAATTCAGATATAAAAGGGGATATTTTTTGTGGGCTCTGCAAGTTCACAGCAGTATTCTCTATAAGCCTAAATGTTTTTGGCAATAATTAAATAGGCAGCAATGAGACAACTGCTAATGTTTTGTTATCTCTATGCATTTCAGGACTACAGTAGTAGCAGCTGCTGCCTTTTTGGATGCCTTTCAGAAAGTGGCTGACATGGCTACTAATACACGTGGTAAGCAGATGTGTCAATATTGAATTTAACAGAATGCTGTGTGGTTTATGCCATTTGTTGTAATAAAAGTCTAACTTGTTACATTGACAAGCAGATCTGCAAGACATCTGTTAGATGGACTTGCACTTTGAAAAAGCAGCATGTGAAGAAGGAAGTAATCTTTTCTGAAAAAAATGCTGGAAACCTGTAATTTAAATGTGTCATCAATCATGTGAACACTTCTTAATTACCATTTGAATTATATGTTGATGAATAATAATTTAGAATGCAAGATTTACTGAAATCTGTATTCACTGTTGCTTCTGTACCTTAAGTAAATGTAAAAGGCTTTATATTCAGCTGGTATAAGTAAGTGTAGGATTGCTGAAGATTGAGCTGACACCAGCTGATGTTTTGGCCTTTGGGGTCTGCAGATAATGGCAATAGTAGCCTGTACTTGTACCTTTGAGGAAAGTCTTTTGCCTCTCCTTTCTCTTCTTTAAGTCTGACATTCCTGGTCAAAATCAGTTTTCCTGGGCTCTGGGCTTCTCTGGGTAATAGTCTGAGCTTGTTGCTGAGTATGGAGGCCAAAACAGTGCAGCTGGCAATCTTTCCAGGCTGCTGAGTTGGAAGGAAACAAAAGGCTGCTTCTCTCTGATGTTGGATGCCCAGTGGCCAAGGCATCATGTGCAGATGTCCCTACAGCAGTAGGGTGTTCCCCATGGTCACTGTGTCCTCAGGCTCTGTTGCTGAAGAACAAATCCAAAGTGCGTGTATTGCTGCCGAATGAGTGTCTTTTGGTCACTTCTAACCTTAGAGGTTTTGTAACTATTTTTTGAAAGTGCCAGTGTGTCCTTGGCATTTGGCTTGGGGAGTAAGAAAGAAATATTGCTAGTGTGAAGAGCGTGCACTTCCATTATCAGTGTGCAAGCTCAGCCAGACTTGTTTCCCTCAATTTCTGGCTAACAGGGGTAGTAGCAGCTGCTGGAACAAATATCAAACCATAGAACAGCAAGAGGAAACAATATTCTTTTCCTTTTTAAAGCTGATATATAGGTTCTAATAAGAAGTTCCTAATTATATGCATACCTTCTATAAATTATGGGTAATTACTCATGTGAAATAATAAACACTTCAGAAAGTGGAATAAACTAAGGATGAGAACCAAGGCAGAACTTAACTTGGATTCCTAACATGTCTCTCCTTCAAGCATGCTCTCTTCTATTTCTTCTCACTCCCCCAAACAGAGAACAAAGTAAACCCTACCAAAATCCTTGAGACTTGTCTTCTGGCTGTGCTGGCAGGCTTACAGAATTTGCATTCAGACACCAGAACTACTGAAACTCTCCTCCTTTCTGACAAAAATGGCTTGTGTGGGTTTTTGAAGGGTATTTTGCACTTTCGGCTGTGTTATTTGGACTGTGTCCAAAAAGTGTCATGTCTTGTCTCTTCTATCTTTGAACACATCCTTTACAAAAGGAGCTCTGTAAATCCAGGCCTGCCAAATTTGTATAGCTCCTCTGTTCTGTCGTCTTTGACTGAAAGGATAGAAGGAAATTTTGTTTTTATTTTTAGAAAGTGATGTTCTGGGCAAGGAATTGAAATTTCAAGCTGGCTGGTGTTTCTGACCTGCTTCCCAACCCAACTTCCACTCCTGCCCATTCAAGTATTTATCTATAAGTAGTCTGTTGCCTCAGAGCATCTTTGAGGTTGCACCTTGGTCCTTTAGCAAATGCAAAATCTTCTAGCTTGCTGTAGACAGAAATAAAATCCTGGCCCAAACACTCTCTATGACTTACTAGGGCATAATTTCATAAAAATATATTTTGCCATCAGTTTAAACAACTATATTCAGAAAACAAAACCAAACAAACTTAGTGAAGTGGGGACTTTAATGGGTGCCAGACTTCCCATGGAGGAGTTATCTAACTTGGAGCAATTATTTGTTAAATTTTGCCTGTTGCTTATCCAGTTTATGAAATCATGTGTTTGGTTGTCTAATCAAACACCTGCTTCCGACTGTTTGAGGGTTTGCATTTAACAGGTTAACCAAAGTCAACAAAGTTCACGGTCAACTTCTGGGGACATAAAAGACTTGCATAGCACTTGCCATGACAAAGGCAGGGAGGGTTTGTGTGTTTTAAATCACAAAGCTGCTATATCATTGCATAAGACAAATGCTTCTTCTGGGAACTGCGTATGAAAATGCTGAAGATGCCTGTTCCAGAGGGACAGTGTTAGTTCCTTGAAGGTTAAATGAAGCTGGGTGCTCCATTTTATTTGTAATTGCTTAGAGTTTCACAGAAAGTGCCTCTTATTTTTAAGACCCACTGATCTAACAAATGAAAGCATTTTATCAGTCAACAGAAGCACTCTCTGGCTACTCTTTAATCTGTTTGCATCAGCGTTAGCTTTGAAAGAAGAAAGTGTTTACATGGATGTACATGTCCACACACACACAAGAGAAGCTGATTACCTTTGCAGACACCAAGTGTTGAAGTATGAGAGCTGATTTCCATCAACACCAGTTCTTGTTCCAGCTGTTATCTTTCTCTACCTCATGTGCTGTTACCACTGTTCCTAAGCATTGGCTCTTCCCCTTTGGTACATCTTTCTTTCTGTGTTGTTTACTTTCTTCTGATTCTGCAACAGTAATGATGTTTATCTTCACATTCCCATTTGAGCTCAAATAGAGGGCATCTGGGCTCTGCTTATGGTAAAACCTATGATTGAATGAATCTGATAACATGTACTTTGCTGTATTTTCCTTGCGTTGTAGCTTTTGAGGTAGGAAAAGCCCTGAATGTGAAGTACCTCAGGGTTTGTGGTGACTCAATACACAGATTAATTTCCCTACTAGCTCATTTCAGCTTCTGCTTCTTTCTTTGCTGTCTTTTCATTTAGACGTATTTCAACCAAAAGTTAAGTCTTTCCCTGAGTTCATTTCAGTTCCCTCAGTTCAATGCTTTTTGATTTCAGTCTGGCAAGGAAAAAATATGGTGAAAGTAGTTCTGATGCATCTATTGCCAAAATATTTCCTTTCTGTGGGTCTGCTCATCTGAAAAACATCATTTGGATGGGAGACTCCTGTCAGGTTACATTGCTAATTGTCAGGTACTGCTAGGCATATAGCAGTGTGTACTGGTGTTTTGCTGGTACCAGAAATTTTTAAAAACAAGTTCCTTTAGATATTTTGACTTTTGAGCTCTGACAAGACATACACATCTGTCTAGCAGTTTGTATTACTCATGCTACATTTTTTTTTTTTGGCATACAGCCTGGCAGAACTCAATAGTCTGCTGTGGAATCTCTCAGTATTATTTCTTACTGTAATTATTAAAGAGAATACTCACAAAATATTAAATAGATACTTCAGGGTAACTTAAAACCATAGTGAAGTTTCCTTTTGGGGAGGTGTGTGCTTGTAAGTTTTAGTTAGGGTTTTTCTCTTTTGGCGTAAGTCTTTCAATAATCTGAAACTTGGAATGTTTTTGTCTGCATTATTTCTAACTGAACTATGAAAGAGATGCAAGTCTTACTTAATTTAAAAGCTGTTCACCTTATGTTTTGTGCATTAAAACTGTATTTCGTTACGAAAGGAAGAACCGTACATCCTAAATATAAACATATATCACATATAAACATATTGAAAGTTGGGTTTGAAGAATATGTAAAGGGACGTGTGCAAATTGCTTTGCTTTTTGTATTCTTCTGCCCCAGCTGCATTTGAATGTCCTTTGTAGATAAGAGCTAGAATTCAGAAACTTGAAAAAGTCAATCAAAAGAGGAACTATCCTCCTTGTGTTAGTTATAAGGGAGATTAATGTGAAAACATGCACACTTCTTTATCTACTTAATACACCATCAGTGGTTTCCATGGGTAAAAAACCTGCTCCAATCTTGCCTACCTTCATCTTCACAGGTGTAAATTAAAATGTATGTAAAGATGATCTAAAAGCTTTGATTTACCCTGAAGCTTAAAATTGATCTTCAAAGTGAGATTGTTAATGACCCAGCTGATAGCCAGTCTTGTGGGTATGGGGTTTTTTTGTTTGTTTTTCATTAATAATGAAGGATTTTACATACACATAGGTGTGTTTGATACCAGCAGGTTAATTACATCACTTCAAGATATGTTTCAGTCTGTCACATGGCTTTCTTGGGCCAGTTGGATTCCATGGATTGTAATGCTGTTTGAAGTGGCCTCATTTCAACTTGGCAAGTGCTGCCAAAGGTGTGTTTTCCCTGCCTTTGGTAATTTGACATTGCTCGTGCTGGTTGGTGCTATTTGCATTTTCCATCTCTTTTGTTTTATAGATGTCTGAGGGGACTTTAAGGCAATGCAGAGCTACTGACAAGAGTTACAGGAAATTCTAGTTGAGGGTGCTTGGTGTGCAGAGAGGGTCTGAGGTTAGGGAAGAAAGAGATGTGGATGGTCAATCAGCTGTAAAGGGATACTGAGCAGATGTGGAAGCAAAACATGCCTGCATGGCATGCAGTGGTGACAGGGTACCAAAACCAGCATAGCCATTTTAGTGTTACCCTTTTGAGGAGCAGGATATATCAGCCTGGAAGAAGTGCTACATTAAAGTGTCTGTACTTTTTTCAGGCCCCATTAAACTCTTACCAGATGCTGAAATGTAAATATGGTTTCACACTTTTACTTACAAAATCAAATCAGATTAATATCCTTGTGTCTGCTTCGGGTAGCTCTTGTATTTCAGTATTCAGTGATTACTCTTCATGTTTAATAAAGCTGATTAAAATAGCACCATTGCTGCAGATCTTTGTTCCTGGGCAGACTCCACATTCGTGTTGCTCCAGGTATGGTGTGAGTGCATCTTCAGGTAGTCCTTACTCTGAGTTTTTACTTGTCATATTAGCCAGGATATAAATGGCATGTATTGAAGTGGTTTTCCAAGGTGACAAGCTGCACTAAGTGTTGCAGTGCTGGAATTAGTATCTGTTATCTCCAAGTAAGTGTGTTTAGACCTTCTAAACCAGTATCTCACTCACTGAAT